AAATAAATTGAGATCAAGTGAAACGACAAGGCATTTAGCAACGAGATGTGAATGTGTTTTTTGTGATAACATTAGTCGTCGCTAAAGGCAGCAATTCTTGTAGTCACACCACCAATGGGTTGGTGCCACAATAAAGATGTTTTTCCTTATCCTTAGGTTTCAATTTTGACTAGCTACTCCACTAAAATGTCTTACCTGACAATTTATTCAGTGTAGCTGGTCCTAATTTCCGTTCCGTTGGTGTATTTCATAATTTCTTCTATAATAATTTTGAGAAATGTTACAAAAAAAGCTTCACTCTTAGATGTAGGCCATTGTTATCGGAGTTTTAAATTTACGCCGCACAAACAAACTAGTAGAAGGTCAATAAAGTATGACATATAAAACTGAATTACAATAAAATGCTGGCATAAATATGAGAAAAAAAAATTGTGCCACCAAACTTTCTTGTCATCTATTGATAATAGGGACGAGAAAACACTAGTGATCCTCTTTTTCGACAAGCAATATATATGTGTGTGTAATATTGAATTTTAACTTGCATGGAAGACTTCTCCATCCGTCGTTATGGAGCGGTTATAAGTCTCAACACTGCTATTATTATTATTCTTCTTTTTGAAATTAAATATGCATTTTTCAGCATTGCGGTGTCTGTTGGGTATTTGAAAGGGTAACGATGATCAATGTAAGAAACTGAAAAGGAAAAATACTCGGTACTCTCCTCTCTTTGTTCGATTATTATGGTCCCGTTCATTTTATCGATTCGAGTTTAAAATTCAAGTTTTGTTACAGGAAAAAGCTTTCACAAACAGTCACATCTAATTTTTTTACTATAATAAAAAACTCTCACATAAAGTCACATCTCAATTCAAATTAAAAATTAAAATCAACGAATTAAACGATCATATATTCTTTAACTTTCTTTTTTTATTTTTTTATTTTTTGGTCTTTTTCATCAGTATCAAGTACGTCCAGCAAACAGCTGCTTTTCATGATTAGTTTGTTTTAATAGTGACATATTCTAGGGGTACCTTACTGAATATATATAGCGATCACGTGGAAAGTATGATGTATAAAGAAAAAAACGGCACGCAGTTGACATAAGGAACAAATATGGAATATTTTGTGTATTCAAAACTTGTGATCTTCAATCTTCAACAATGGGATACACACGTCACTCGTGAGTCACAAATGAAATGAAAAGCCATTATTAGCGTGAAACACAACCCGGCATCTTCGCTTCAATAAAAACAAACGTCGTCTTCCATTTCCATCTTTACAAAATATGGTTATCATTTCATAAGATATATTTTCCTAATCATATGTGACCGTTTAGCTTGTTGATTCGAATTTTTAATACGAGTTAAAATATGACTTTATGTGAGAGCTTTTTACTGTAGCAAAAAATTTAAATTTGATTGTTTATGATAGTTTTTTACTGTAATAAAATTTGAAACTTGAATCGGTGAAATAAACGGGGCCTTAGCCTTCCATGCCCGCTTGTTTCACTTTAACTCCTAATATTAACTTTTAGAAATTTGACTACATAACATTTCTAAATATACACTTTTAAGTTAATAAATTATCTATTTTCAAATCGAAATTTAGCACGATAATGACACACAAGTTTTAAAAAAGAATAAAAGAATAGAAAGAAAAACCAAAGAAAAATTTCTAGAAAGAAAAAAAAAATCAGATTAGGGCATATGGCCGGAAAATTTTTATTTCAGATGTCTTTTTTTAAGGTTTATGGCCGGAAAATTTTTTTTTCAGATGTTTTTTTTTAAGGTTTTTTTTTTTTTTTTTTTTTTTTTTTTTAAATTGGTTGCTTTTCGTTTTATCTCAAATGAACCCCTCACGTGTCATATCCTCGTGATCGAATAGAGGGGCCGAAACGTTATATTTTAAAATCTTTGTGGTAGTAAGATTTTTAAAAGTGAATTTTAGACATTAAAGTGAGACTAGTTAATACTTAATATTTTCAAGGTCGTTTTGCTATAACTGCTGTCATGTTGTAGATCTTCAATCTCAAATGAATCAAAGACAAATAGACTACACCAAATCAACATGGGATCCTCTTTTTTGAATTGAAATATTTACGACTGGAGAAACTTAACAAACTTATAAGGTTCCTTTTGGTTTTAATAGGTAATTAGTAAACGAAAGTTATGAGATGTTTCGGGGCAACTGAGCGTTAGACCGACCCTTAAGTCCCAGATTGACTACCACAACAACCATATTGTTGTAGACACCACAACAACCATATAATATATATATTTTGTTTGGGAGACACTGACCCAACACATTTTAAAAATCTAATTTGATCTAAAAGATTAACATACTATAACTTAAGTCATTCTATGTATATAAACCACTTCATATTCCCAACAATAATAATATATATATATATATATATTTTGTTGGGAGACACTAGCTTAACACACTTTAGGAATCCAACTTAACCCAAAAGATTAACATATTATGATTTAGGTCATTCTATGTATATAAACCACTTCATATTCCCATCCACTTTTCATGTGGGACAACATACACGCATTTTTTTTAATAATCTCTCCCTCATGTGTGTGTTCACCGAGCTCCTCCTTAAATCAACATTTCTTGTAGTCAGCACATCCAAGCATCACACTCCAAACATGAGCCAACTTGAGCATGGAAAAGAGAGCCGAAACCATGCGAGTTCACCAATGCTCTACCAAACTGCGGGAATGCCTCCCGTGGGAACTGTAACTAAGTGTGATAGTTTGGACCATATGAACCATCGGCTCATACCACTTATTAAGGAGACTCCACATGCAAAACTGGCCAAACACACTTCAGAAGCTCAACTTGACTCAAAAGGTTAACTTATTAAGTCTTGAGTCCTTCCATATATATAAATCACTTCACATTTTTATTTATTTTTCATGTGGGACAATACATACACTTTTTTCAACGTATATATTAAAAAAGTTTCCTACTTGGGAGAACGTATGGTTGTCGACTACCTCAACAACCATATGTATAAGACAATCTTACTTCGTGGAACATGACAAAGAGACCCCACGGTCATTTCACGTTTGATTAGAGTTGTTAAAAACTATTCTGTTCCCGTGTGAAACAACATTTTAGGTGCATTAATCCAACCACATTTTCCACTTCATTTTTCTTAATCTCTGTTTACAAAAAAAAAAATATTATTAAACAAAGACTTCAAGAAGCGACCACCATAAGAATAATCCTATTGTAATTATTATTATTTTGAAACAATAATCCTACATTGTTTTCCACTATGTACATGGTCAAGCAAATTAAGGTGACAACATCTCTTGAATGGACAGTGACACCACCATAGCAAGGAAAAAAAAAAAAAGAAGATAAATATTCAAGAGTCTGAAATTTTATCCTACTCTTAATTAATATTTTTTTATTTTTTTAGTCAAAAAACTATATTAGTTAAAAGAGTATTAATAAAAAATAGAGATAAAAATTCAAACTCATATACTTTAAGGGTAAGTTTAGTAATTTTCTAAAAAAGAAACTCATAAAACAACAAACTTTCATTTCGTATTTTTTTCCTTATAAAAACCAAATTGGGTCAGAAAATTTGAATTATATACTTAAACGTTCAAATTTGAAGCAGGAAAGAATTTAATATTTATCGCTAGATTAAACTAGCAATCATTATAATTAATTGAATTTATACCATGAACTTTTAAAATTAATTAATTAATTACTTAATTCATCTTTGCATTTTTTTTTGTTTTTTTTTTTAAAGTGGAATTCACCTTTTATTACTAGTAAATTATCAAGCTCAATATTATTAAACCACAAATAACAGCTATTATGTAGGGGATTTTTTTTTTTTAAAAGGGAAAAAAAAAAGAAAAGAAAGCACATTATAATGTCCTATCCTATAAAATAAGAAATAAATATTCTAAATGGGATAAACTCACAAGCCCCTGCCTATTCAAAGCCTTCCCCAACGTCTTAATTAGCTACAGAGAATAGATATTAAGCATTCGGGTGTTGGGTTGACTGCCGAGGTGGAAGTGGTGGGACCTAAATACTTAGGTCTCGTTTATTTTATTAATTTGTGTTTTTAATTTTAATTTTATTATAGTTAAAATTTTTTATAAAAAATTATATTTTAATTTAAATTAAAAATATAAATTCGCGAACTGAACGAGGCATTTAAAATATAAAAAAAGAAAAGTTTATTAAAAAAAAAATGCTGAGAGAGTGAGTAGTTCGGGTCCCAAGAGATAGAAATAGCGAGAAAAGATGGAGAAGGGAAGAAAAAGATTGAGTTTTGTTGGTTTTTTTTAAGTGAAGAAAGCAAGTCCAACGATGAATATTCCTCTTATCTTCTTAAACTTTGAATATGTTATTTGCTAGGTATCTTCCCGCTTGGATAGTTGATTCTTCTCTTTTATTGCTAGCTAGTATTTTGTAATGCCCAGACTTTTTATTTTGTTGAAATGGATGAGTTGTTGATGATTGCAAGCATCTAGATTTGTTGTTGGAGGAGAACTTGGAATACTAATTAATCTTATTAGTTGAAGTTTTTGAGTGACTTTAGTATGTGGTTTCTCTCTTCATATTGGATGGTTTTTGACTTAAAATTTGATTTTGTGGGTTGTGTTGATCATTTTTTTCTATTTGCTTGATTTGATATTGTTTGTTTTCCATGTCCGTTTAATTGCACAAAGAGGGGGGAAAAAAATTTTTCATGCGTTCCATTGATCAATTTTTGAATAAAAATTTTTCCCAGATTATTGAAATTTTCCCGACACAAAGAAAGTTTAACTTCTCAGAATCCCCAAGCCACTAATAATAACGATAATCAGATTTTAGAGTTTGCAACACTGGATGGAGAATTAAATTGTAACATTAAAACAAAATGAAAAACATTTCCGTGAGCAAAACAAGAAAGAAAAAAAAAAGGGGGGTAGACAAAATATTAAAGTTACTCTTAAAACCATTTTCAATTTTGCTAATTCTTTTTTTTTTTTTTTTTAGGATACTAACTGACATTCTGTCCAATTGTCCATGAACTGTATATATCATATACAAACCTAAGGCTAACTCCTTGATACAAATTTCTCAACCACTCGCCCCAAGAAATCTAAATTTATATAGACAGCTTTATATTTTTTAACGAGACCTAAGAGAACTCTCTAGGGCTTTTATATTGACACACTATTTGGAACACCTCTACATGTTACCCCTGGTTCCGAGCTAGGCGCAAGTAGCTCATAAGGTAACACCCCAGCACCACATCTATTATTAAGGCTTGGATCACTGTTCCTTTTGTCAATCTCCTTCTCTATCCGCCTCACCTCCGCCGAGAACCCGTAAAATGCCTCGACGATCTCCGCATCACCCAACCAAATCGATGGCTGCTGCCGCTCGCCGAGGTACTCCTCATCGGGCGAATGGGTGGACAGAGTGTCCACCACGGCCATATACTTTGTGGATTGCAGCACACTGGGCAGTGCCGAGAGGAAGTACTTTTGAGGGTCAGAAATGAAATTAGCATACTCGGGGTCAGTTTCTTCAGGAATTAGCCTTCTCGTTAGAGGCGGGCGATTTGGGACGTATCCACCATACGGGTACTGCCCAAAATTAAGGGCCGCATGTTGGGCCGACGCGAGCCAGATGAGAGTGGTGAGAATGGACACGAGATCATCAGCACATTCCAGTGTGGGCCACCAGCTTGCTTCGCGGATATCGGCGTGGCCCACATTTTTGGACTCGGCGTACCAATTCTGCAACTCTCTATCGTTGTAGATCGTGCTTGAGTTTGGGTAGTAGTGGTTCACATAGGTCCGGACCCAATCCTCAATCGCAGCCCATATTAGAAGCCCATCGTTAGCATATGGGTAATCTTCAATCACAAGCTTTATACCATGTGGCTGTGTCGGGTCAGGAACGGCCATACCCCTGCAAGATGGTCAAATGAATATCCCACATTAGATTCCATAAGATTTTTAGGCGCCTATAAGTGAACCATACAATTGTTATTTTCTAGTGGTCACACTGCTTTTTCCTCCCTTTAACAAGGTCCAATTGAATTTCAGCCAAAAAGAAAAGGACCCCTAGTAGAAAAACTAGCACAACCACTTTTTAAAGTAGGGTTGTATAGTCCAATCATACATATGTTAAAATCACGCGCGTGTTAATGTTCCAACTACCAAATGAGGTTTTTTTTTACACTCTACAAAAATCCCGTGTGATTGGTCGGGCTCGTCGCGGATGCCCATTGGTCGACACATACAATAAAAAGAAAGAAAAAAATTGAATTTGAATTTTTCACACAGTAAATGTAATTTTAGTATTGTACCTTCTAATGAGATCAGCAGGGAGGGCTTCCATGTCAAAGCGCCAGAAATTTTTGTAAGCCGCGGCGCTGATTTCCATGCAGTAGCGTCCAGGAGAGAAGCAAGACTCGATCACACCATCAGCGTTAATCAGGTTCTGGCGAGCCAATCCATTGATCTCCAATGTGTACCGCATGTGAGGGTCCAAAAGCTTGAATATGGGGTGCATTGCACTCAATTGCCTGTGAGCTGCTAATATAAACGGTTCCAAGCAAGCATGTGTACGTAACCTGTAATAAAATGTAACAATATTTAGTTTAGCTATACACACTAGACCTTTGTGATATCATTTTTTTTTTCCTTCAAGTTTTGGACTGTTGGGTAGAGGCAAGAGGACTAATTTGCTCACCAATGGTTCACGAGTTGGTGGACACCGGCGTCGTTGGAGCACACGTGCGCCTTAGCGAGTTGCCACATCCAATTGGTCGTGGCATTGACCGGAGGGGTTACAACTCGCTTCGACCGGGAACTTGGTCCAGCAGTGGGGAGGCTGAGCTCAATGGCAATGGGCTTGAGAGTTCCGCGAGATGTTAAGAAAAAAATGGTGCGAGTGGCATAGGATTTCCGACCGTCAAGAGCATTTAATTGGTCGAGAAACGGGAGGTACACGTCGTGGTGGTCCACCATAAACAGCTTATTTTCCTCCAGCGCCTGTGACAAAAAATAATTCAAGTAATTAATTAACTAATTCAATTAATTAGTATGATAACCCAAATTAAGGAATTAATTGTGTGATGTAATGTACCTGTTGTACAGTCATGCCATTGAGTTGCCCTATAATGTGTTCTTCTTTGAGTGCAGATTCTAATTGGGGACCATAAATTTGTGGATCAAGCTTGCTCTCTGGTGGAAATACTTTCATCCTCTCTATATTGACTGGATTAACCCCTGCCATTGCTTGACGGGCAAATTCATCGTCCCTTAGCCAGGCAAATTTGTCCTCTGAAAATGAAATTAGAAATTAATACACATTAAAAAAAAAAAAGAATCTTAAAACTGAAATGTAATTGAAGAAGTAGAAATTAATTTCAAGAATATTATACTATACTCACTGGAAAGAATCTTGGGGGTGTCGTATTTAAGAATGCCACGGTTTTCTTGAATTCTGCTAACGATATTGGGCAGAGGAAGCTTCTTTAGGAGTTCATCTTGTAAACCCAATTTAAGCAGAACTCCTTCACTGTAAAGGTTGTCAATGTCCGAGAAACCATTGAAATCATGATTCTCAGCGGAAATGCTTGCCATCAACGAAGGGATTAAGTTGTGTAGAACTGCTTTAAGTCTACCGAAAATGAATGTGTCCTGCTTTGACTCCTCAAATTGCTCATCTCTCGGCACGTAAATTGGCAGGGGCTTCTCAACTCTGCTCTCCGAATACATATCTACACGGCCATCTTTTTCGTTAGTATATATTTTTGAGTGTTTTAAGATTATGAATAATAATTAATGTATGGATTCAATTCTCTGTCTCATTGTTTCTGTCTCGATCCAAGTACTTCCAATTAAAATATCATACCACATTCATTAAAATATTTGTAAGTTACAATATTTTTATCGATATAATATATGATATTATTAGAGGAACGTAAAAGAAAATGTGAGTCGAATTATAATTAATATAGAGCATTTACCGGTATCAGATGGGGGGCGACCAGTACGACACCGTCTGGGATATGGAATTTCTTGGCCTCCAAGTATGGGACGAGCAAACTCAATTCCCCTGTCTGGATTTCCCAAATCATTGTACACTTCGAAGTCATATATGCGATCGGATAATTTTCTGACTCCTTTTCCATCTCCTCTTAGGAATTTTAGCTCTTTTTCTCTTAAAGCTCTTAGCCCAGCTGGAGTGTCGCTTGGTAAATGTGGCTGCGCAAAATTAAAGGATTAACAAAATAATAAAAATGAAAATACTCGTAAATAGAATGCATAACGGTCAAAAATTTAATTAGTATGGCATTTGCCAATTGCCATTTAGTGTTGCAGTTGCCAGTTATTGACATTATTTTAGATTTAAATTATGATGGGCCCATGGGAAATAATAACGAGAAAATTAGAAAATATACCCCCTTAACTCGTCTCTTTATTTTATTTTATTTTATTTTATTTCATTTTGTCATTATTATAGTTCTAGAATTCTGCTTCTGGACAAAGTGGAGACTGTTTAGAATTCTGCGTCTCGAGAAATCTTGATGTTTTAAGGAAATGCATAAATCCTTAGACAAACATCCTGAAATAGTGAATTTTGATTATGCTCGACAATTATTAAAGAATATTAATTCAATTAAAAATTCTCAATCTTTCACCACAAAAAAACAATTCTCCGCCTTTGACTTTTCGTCCTTCTTTTAATTTTAAAGGCAAACGAATCACCGTCCTATAGAAAATCTTACACAGGCTGTATCCTTTAGCTGCCGGTGGCTTCAACCACCCCATAATTACCATTTCATTTTTCCTTTGTTTTTTTCTGAACAAATTTGACGCGCGGTGGTTTCAGAACAAATTATTTTTCCTTATAATTTTTCCTTTGAAAGTGACGCTCAAAAATAGCTGCCACCCTTGAACTATTCAACTTAATAATATTTCTGCGTTCTGTTTCTATGATCAAATATATATTCACCGACTTGTCTTTTGCAAATATTCAAATTTAAGATTATTTGGTTTGACCGCTAATATAATATCTGATCAAAATTAAAACATAAACAAACACAAACCCAGCTTGCACCAAACCTCTATAGAAAGTATGCAGGTTTGAAAAACGACATAAAAACATAAAAAATAAGAATATAATAACAAACGTTAACAAATCAAAATAGTAGTAATCTAATCTTACCTTGTTCGAGAAGAAAATCCTCTTTGCAGGATGATGTTTAGTGGATTGAACCCAAGAGTTGCAGGGGAAATGTACAGGACCGCAAGCGAATCCTTCAATGGTGATTGACTCAAGGAAAAACTCTTTCTGATGCTTGTTTGCGACCGTGATCGCTCCCGGGATGCCAAAGTTCGAGTCCACCAAAAACTCCGCCGTGTAATTCACCCGCTCGGCTTTCACCACAGATTTCTTAGACCAGTCCCTTAGCACCGCTTCCTTGCTCTTCTTTGGGCCCTTGGTTTCTTCACAACCCAAAAATTAAATAATTTAGCAAATACCACCCCAAAAACGACAAAGAATTAAGAAAGAGGAAATTGGTTTAGACTTACTTGGGTCTAACTCGGTGCTGATGAGTTCAAAAACGACATTCCTGCCGATTTTGTCAGTGAAGGCGTCCAAGTGTTTCACCAAGGTATCCTTCAAGTCTTCCTTGTTCTTGTTCCTCACAGTCACCACAGCTCTCACCTTGAACTTCACGGGCTTCTCCGGAACATTATTGGCTGCGGCGGGGACAGATCTCCGTACCAAATCCTCACTAACAGCCGCCACGGGACCACTCTTCAATGACTTTCTCAAATGCAAATTCTGAACAAAAACACGCCCACCTAACAAATGGTTTCGCCTTTGCGGGCAAAAGCCATATTGATTGTTTACAAAACAACTCTCACGTTCCAATATAGACCTACCCATGATTTCTTTAGCCAGTGCCATTATTGTTGTTGTGATCTTTGATCTCTTTTTTCTCTCTCTAGTTGTAGCACAGTTTTAGTGTTGGGCTTTTTTTTTTTTTTTTTTTGGGTGATGAATGAAGAGATGAGAAATGGGGTCGAGGAGAAGAAGTGCTCGATTTGATGATTTGATTAGCAGTGGGACTAAACTTTGTGTGTATATATAGGGAATAAATTATATAACAAAGTAGAGCGAGAGTGAAAGGTCTAATATGCCTCATCACCGTCCACACGTTTTTTTTTTAATTCTCGCTTGTGAATCACCCGGGTTTTACTTTTTTTTGTTATTCGGATGATTTTGGAAAAAAAAAAAAAAATGGAATTCAAAGTCGACGACGTGGCCGAGTCAAAACGAGTTTCAGGCTTCTTCTGATAAAAGGAATACGCGGTGAGGAAAGCCAAAGAGAAGGTGAGATTTCTTCCCCAAAAAACACACAAAAAAAAAATATATATATATATATATATTTCGGAAAAAGGGAAAAAGAGATAGTGAGGCTTCTTTACATATAAAAAATAGGATTAATTTTAAAAATTTCCCCTTATGACCATTATAATACTTTATCTCTTAAATTTTAAAACGTAACCTCCGTTTCTTATGAACTTTCCGTTAATAAGTTTTTCGTTTCTGTTACAATCAGTGATGAAATTCATCACGTGTCAAGTATATGACTCATCTGAGGAAGGTATTATCGTAAATTAAGCTGCAACAACTCTTTCAAGCATTAACGAAAGAAAACCCCGTAAATTAACAAGATCCATTTGATGGGTTGCAGCGTAATCTCCAGAACCTTCAATAACTTCTCTGCCGTCGCAACCGAAGCCATAACCGAACCGGCCATGGCTCTGCCACCGGCCGTACAACAACCCACGAAGTTGTTCTCGAGCTTCAAACTCAAAGAGCTCAAAGAACCCCACATCTTCGATCTCAATGAGATTGAAGAGTTGAAGGATCTTGGTTTGTGAGGGTACGAGATGTTTTGGCAAAGTGATGGTGTTTTGAGCTCCATTGCTGCATATTTTGCTCACTTTGGCCATTTTTTACCCTCTTTCTCTCTCTAAAAGTTTATGTCACTTCTCTCTCTAAAAGTGGGTGTTTGGATGAATAGAAAGTTGGGGTTTTTAGTGGCAATGGGTGGGTGCAGGTGGGGAGTGACCCTTTCTCTCCAGGAAGGTTTACCAGCCAAACTCTCTTGCCAAATTTCTTTTCGTTTGGGCAAAATATACAAATTTTTAAAACTGGGGAGCAAAATGAGTTATGATTGTTTGAAGATGGGGAACAAAATGACGAAAAAGAAAAAAGAAAAATAGGGAATGAAAATAGTGAATTTTTTCAATAAAATAGAGAATTATCTGATTAGGAGGGTATAAGCATAATTACGTTTTTAATTCTCACTAAATAAGTGACATTTGGCAATTCCGTCACTTATTGTAATAGATGGGGAAAACTTGTTAACAGAACAAAATTCAAAGGGAACAAATGTTACGTTTTAAAATTCATAGGGAAAGTGTTACAAATGTCATAGTTCAGGGAGAATTTTTGAAATTAATCCTAAAAAATAATGTTAGGGACATCAACTCAAATTTCAACTTTTGTATACCAACTGACATGAGACGTGAATTTTCATTTTTATTGGTGGGTATTTTAAAACATTGCCGCTTCAATTAATGAAAGAGATTGCATCTGTCAATAAAAAGATGATAACTCGCGTGTCACATGAGTTGTTATATAAGAGTTGATATTTGAGTTAGTGTTCCTAACATTACTCCTCCATAAAAGGACATGCAACTCCCTTGTCTACCAGTAAAATGGCAAACATGTCCCGGTTCATTGTAAACCCCGCATGATTAATGATTATGATTGGTTTGTTATTTGAAAATAAAAATGTACGCTAATTACTATTTTATCTTACAAGGAAGAAATATCACCATAAAGGTCGTGTTTAGAATTAATCCCATTTTTATTTTTCACATTTTTCAAGAAAAAAATAAAAACGTTTTTAAAATGGCGTTTGGTGTAATAAAGATAAAAAACGAAAATGAAAACGATTTTTTAGTTTAGTGTAAAATAAGAGAGAAATGAAAAATGACTTTTAGTCGTTTTTCATTTTCTCCTCTCTCGAGCAGAGAGAAAGAAAAAGAGACATTAATGAGTTTTTTTTTATACTGAAAATAATCTCTTGATAAAATTACTAAATGCATTTTCAAAAATGATTTCTGTCTGAGATTGAAAACGTTTTCATTTTCATTTTCATATAAAAAATAAAATCATTTTGAAACGAGTTCCAAACACGCCTAAAATGTTTCTTAGAATCAATTTCATGAAAATATGAGGTCCTGTTTGATTAATTGTGGTTCTGAATATTTTTAAATTGCAAAATAAATCGCACTATACGGTTTAAATACGAAATAGACCTCAGATCAAAAAACCACAGCACTTAGTGCCACATGGTACAAGTATTTGTTTTTTAAATTAAGCGTTTTTTAGGGAATTTAAGCGGTTATTCCTTATTGAAACTTTGAAACAAAACTGAACGTTAATTTGTCCAAACTGACATTCTTCAAAATTTAGCAAATAAAGTTTAAATTGCAAGTATTATTATCGAATCAATATTTGATTTTATTCCATTTCGTAAGTCAAATATATATATATATATATTAAAAAAAGAAGATTTCATTAAAGAATTAAAACATATACTAAAATATGAATGATTTTACAGTATAAGATATAAACCTCAACCGGAAATGGTTCAACTAGTGCAAATTAATAACGCTTAATGAGTCCAAGAACAGAAAATATCTGGACACACAAAGAACGAACAGTCGTATTTCATAAGTCAAATGTTGATTACAAGTTTCAACCAAAAAGTGAACTATAATCCTACAAACTTTATCACGTTACTTTTATCATTAATATTCATTACCATTCCAGTTAATTACTTTAGAAACAAACTAAAACCTTACACTTCTTTTGCTCGGGGTTTTGCTCCTTGAACTTGCAGTCGTTCCTTTCCCCATCATCGTTAATGCCTTCAAATTTCATACGTAATCACCAGGCCCGTTCTTTTCATTGATTCGAGTTTTGTTATTGTAAAAAGCTCTAAAAAACGGTCACATCTAACTTTTTTACTACAATAAAAAGCTCTCACACAACATCACATCTCAACTCGAATTAAAAACTCAAATTAGCAAACCAAACGGGTAATGATAACCGTATTCTGTATAAATAATGTTTTCCTCCAGCGATAGTGAAGGAT